CTGTCCGTATCTCTCAATCCAGCGGCCTTGATCTTTTACTGTGACCCAGCAAAGTCCTAAATGCCACGTCTCATTTTACACATCACCACTGTTAGATATTAATGCCTTCTTGTGAAAATTTTTATCCTAGTATTCTTTTAAGGATTGGTAGAATATCCTGCCCTAAATCAGAGCAGATACACTATTGTACTGATTTTTAAAAATGTTTTAAGGAAGGGAAGGGGGGGGGGGGACAAATTACATTGTCTGTTTTATTCATTTCACTTTTTTGTATCACAATTAATCATTAGCCAAAATGTGAAAATGTTTGTGAAAGCCCCAGGAGGCAGGGAAGGACTTAATGAAATGTTGATACTCCCAGTCAGTTTCTAAAGGGAGTGTTGACATTTAAGTGCCTTAAGACTACATTATCCAAGGACCTCTGATTTATAAAGTCAATAAAAAATTCCTTTTAATTATTTCTCTTTCACAACGGACGTTATTCTTTCCTCCCTTCTGGCATGCGATTTGTTCAATGTGATATTGACAAGAGTGTTCAGGAGAAGTTGAGGCATGTTTTGTCTGTTTGATCTGACAGACCCAGTGGTTTTCAGGGAGGTACTGGGGCTCTGTGAAAACCACCCCTCAAAACTCACGGGTATTTTTGGATAAATGTTTTTTTTTTTTCAGTTTCCATATCCATATTTTTTTTTATCTATCATCCATCAAAATAATCTTCCTCCCATAATAAATTACCCCACACAGAAAAGTTGATTCGCACTGAGACTTAAATAACTCCTGATGTTTCCTGACAGAATAATAAATAAGCTCTGGTTTATGCACTTCATGATTATCTTGACATTGGTGTGGAATAATCTGACGACCCCATAAACAGGATCTCACTACAAAGCAATAAAGGGATAGTTCACCCAAAAATCATTAATTTCTCACCCTCATGTTGTTCCAATCCAGTAAGACCTTCGGTCATCTTCAGAACACAAATTAAGATGTTTTTGATGAAATCCGAGAGCTTTCTGACAGCAAGGGAACTACCACGGTCAAGGTCCAGAAAGTTAGTAAGGACATCGTTAAAACCTGATAACCCGCACCTGGACGCCGGCGCCGTTTTGAATAAAAAAAAAAAGGGCGGAGAGAGAGAAATTGCAAGCTCGTAGACAGGAGGAGTGTGTTCGACCAAAGTCCCTTTCTCGGTTCGACTTGAAGCAGCAATGCGCAGACTGATCGTTGTATTACATCAAAGCACCGCGAGAGCTACAGAGAGCAGGGGCAAGTTCAAGCTCAAACCGGTGCGCAACGTTTTGAAATAATAAGAGCACAAGTATAGATCTGGAACTTCTTTAAGTTTGTCTAAATATCATTTAGTAATTGCAATGTCTTCTGGTCCATATCCTTTCCTTAGGAAGGTGTGCTAGACACTGATCAAAGTAAAATAAAAATACTATACATATTTATATATTTTGCTATTGTATTGTGGAGTGACACTTTCATAAACTTTTCTATACCCCTCTATATAATGGTAAATATTACAATAGCATAGCACAGCAACAGTGATCAGCAATAATAATAATAAGCCTAATACTCACAATAAAAATAATAAAGTCGTATAGATCATAACACAGTCTCGGAGGTAAGAAGTGGATTATCCTTCACCTGAAATGTTTGTCTTTTCATCCTGAAATGCGAGGCAAATGTTGGATCACAATAAATTGGAACCACAGTTTCCACAAATCCCTTCACTCGAATTAGGATGTTCTCTTTGATTCTGGACAGCAAGGTCAGTGACTGTAACATCGAGCGTATTTTGCCGTATTAAAGACGTATTTATACCGATGTCATCAGGCTCCGAAAATTCTTCAAAAAGAACACAAAGAATGGCCTTCTCATAACTCTTGCGTCATTAGAACGTTTTTTCGTTTAAAAAACTTTTTGCACCTGTAACAAAGTTCGTAGTCACGGGAAGAAGGAGGCGGGAACCGGCGAACACTTCAACAAAACTTTAATAAAATAAACAAACACAAAATAGCGCGACAGCCCCTCACTCCTCCCTTTTATCCTTCCGGAGCTCCTCCGTGAGACTCGAGACCGGGAAGTGGTGCAGGTGTCGCTCATTATCAATTACTCCACCAGCCTCGCTCCGTTCCCACGGCTCTCGGCCCCACCCCCACTCGTCACAGCACCGTTTGTCGGGGCTGAACGCAGCCCAGATGACTCTGCATGCTTTCGAATCGCTCTTGCGGTACTTTGATGTCCGATCGGTCTGTGTGCTGCTGCTTCAAATCGAACACACCTTATCTCACTGCCGGTCTGTTTTGACGGCACACTTCATCCGCATGCAAACATGTCATCGGCGTGGAAGTTCTTCATTGTGAGTTAAACAGACACAAAGTTCACAATTTGTAAAACAATATTGACTGTTTTTGCTCAAGTTTGCTGACGAAGTTTCAAACAAAGCCACAGCAGAACTGTTTTGTGTCTCCGAGCAACACAGCGGTGTTTCGATACTGAATGAATCCACGTTTTTGAACGAATCCAGTGAGTCAATGATTCAGTAACCCATTCATAAAGTCACTTGCCTCGTTTTTGAATGAATCAGCCGTTTGAATGAATGACTAATAGGGATACTGCGCTCCTGTACTCGTACTCGTAAAAAATGCCCTGATACCAAAAGCCGATACTACACATTGTGTGAACAGAGCTATGTCCAGAAAAAGAAACACTGACAACAGAACAACAGAGAGTAGAATGGAGTTATTGGAGATTAAGGATGTCTATGAAGTACATGTAAGTAATTACATGATGAGCGGCACAGATGAGCGAGCTTGTTGAGTGAATATCTCACAGACATCACTGGAAAGTTTGTAGTTCGGTCGGATATGTCAAAAGCAAGCAAGCAAAACAGTGCACAAGTTACTAAAGTTATTTGACGATAAGGAGAGAGAGAGAGTCCGAGAGCACGCACTTCTGTTGCATGATCTTGATTGCGGTTTGCTCCATTAGCGCATGCATTTGGATTAAAACTAAATCGTAAATATAAAACAAACAAAAATTATAGGGGCATTCACTATAAACAACATTTATTTTAAACGTCAAGCATACACGATTAAAGCAAAAGTGAAACTAGCAGACTGTGTGAAATGCACTTTTTTTTTTTTTACAGTGTAGGCTAAGGCCCAGTACCAATTCTACCCCTTAGCCCCTCTCTTTTGGTTGGAGGGGTAGGGGTAGGGGAAGGGCCAGACAGCCCTTAAAACGAAGATTTTTCGGGACCACATTTCAAACGAAGGGGTATGAATTATCTCAGCGTAAACCGGCTTCAGGGGCAACATGGCTGCCCGAGCGAACAAAAAGACACATAAATGTAAGCATTTTTGTCATTAATAAAGATTTTAACGAAAAGTAATTATTTGTTTTATGTTACATTCAATCGTGAGTTCATATTTACGGTCATGTTACTCAAAGAAATGTTTGCAAAAAATCGCTAATATTTGCATCATATCATTATAGACTGCACAATAATGCCACAACATATTTTCATGTCTGATCAGGGCGATAACCACCGTAGACATTGAGGGGGGCTAATCCCCCAAATGATTAGAAATCGCTAAACCCTTTTCTCTAATATTGCCAATTCGAGAGAGAGAGAGAGAGATGAAAGTTGCGTGTGCGCATTAATATAGAACGGTAATTAAAGGCTCTAATGCACACCAGCTCACCAGTATAGGTGTGTGTATTGTAGGAGCTAGATGACGTGTGCACGTGGCATAGTAGTGGTGTACCAATTCTTAGGGGAATATTTTCACCCCTACCCCTTGACACTCTGTTTCAAGGGACAAGAGGAAGGGGTAGGTGGAAGGGGTATAAAATAGAATTGGGATTGGGCCTAAGTGTCTCTCTCATTCTGCACCAATTCAAACGTGTGCGCGCTGCGCATGTTTAACTTGCTTTAAAATTATGTTTTTTATTCGTACGCGAGTGTCCGCGTATAGTGTGCATGACGCAAATTACATCACCAAAATAGTACGTGCATACTCGTATAGTGTATAACGAGTGGTCCCCTGCATTATTTTAGGAACATGTTTTGTGATTACAGTATTGAGCTGCTGCAATGGAGCAGCTCTAATAAATGCTCTAATGAACAGTGAAAGTAACAAAAGCTTATACAATACATTTTAACAGGTATAATTAAGTGTTGAAATAACTGAAGGAAATATCTGTTTGCTAAATGAAGCCAACTAACATGATTGTTATTATTATTATTATTAATACTATTTTGTCTCTGTGCCCAATATTTGTAAAAAAGTACAAATGCTGTGAAAATACAGGTATCAATATCGGCAAATACAAAAAAATAAATGAAAGTATCGGTATCAGTACCAAAAAAGTGGTATCGGTGCATCCCTAATGACTAATGACTCGCTCATTAAAACAGTCATTTACCGTCATCTACTGGTGGTTTGGTTTCATATTTAAAAGTATTGCATTTTCCCCAACATTTTTAACTTGTATGATATACAGTATTTAAAAAAATATTTAAAACATTAATCTTATAAAATTATTTATGCATTTGAAATTTTGTGGTGTAAATGCATTTATGGCACCTCAGCTTCATTATAAACAGTCTGTGTAAATACATCTAATGCCACTTCAGATGCAGCTTCTGTGCTAGGGTAAATTGTAACATTTGACTAGCGCTTGTTTTGTGACGGTTGCTCCTAGCTGTGCATTGTCTAGATGTAGAGGTTTTCTAGCAGCACAGGCAGGTTGATGGCTCTGACGAGCTTCGGGTGTCATTTAGCTTCCTATGGCCAGTCAGGGTTTTCTGGATCTCAACTCTGTGTTGCTAGGCAACAGAAATTTTTATCCAGGCTTCATTTTTATATCAGAATGTAATCTGCTATGATAGTATCCTAAATTAAAATTTTGAAATTCAACTAAATTTTTTTTGTCAAAACCTGTGGCATGAGCAAATAATAATATGTATATTTTTTTGCTTCTTTCAGGAAAAGAGGAATAGAAGTTGTTCAGGTAAGTGGATCTTACCTAAACTAAATTTGTTTCAGATGTTTATCTAATGTGTGAAATCACCAACATAAAATTATTCTGGAGTCCAGAAGTATTTTTCCCATTCGTTATCTCCATAGCCATTTCAGAAAAGAAAAGTTGTAAAGATTTCCTGTGCTGCGTTTCATTCAACATGGAATTTCCAGCCTTTCTTCAAACTTGATTTGAAGTTGGAAAAGTTAATGATACATATTCAGTTCTACACAAATAAAATCCATCAATGACTTGAAGTTCCTATGTTACACAATGATAAAACCTGTTCCAGAGACAGGTGTGTAATGATAAATGATCCTCTCAGTTGTCATCAGACCAGCAAAACAAATGCTAGCTCTACGTAACATAATTTATCCAGTGCAGTTCGGTTGCCAGGGATTTTGTTGTTGACCAAACACCTGCAAAGCTAATGGTTGTTAGCTGTTTCGTTTGTTGTTTTCTTTTCCTTTGTATATAAAACTTTACATACGCAACTTCTCTGATTGGTGGATCTTGCTACAGCATTATGGGTAGTGTAGTACTTCCCTTGAAATTCAGCAACAGAGTGCAACACACACACAATAAATATAAATACTGCTGCTGTCATTAATGATCATCAAACAACAAAATAGCTGTGATAAAAATCTATATTTAATTTATACAGTGAATACTATGCAGTGTTATTTCCCCTAATTATTACATTTCTGTATTTGAATACTACCAACCTTATTTTATTTGTAACATAGTGTTGCGTTTATCTATGATTGTAATTTGTGTATTTGTTCTTATTTTTACTGGCTGTTCTCTTGTCTCTTTATTCATGTTTAAACTTTCTTAGTTAATCTAGTAGTATTTGCTGTGGTATCAAAAGAAATACTTCGCATTAAGTAATAAATGGAAAGCAAGATAAATTGAAATATTTTTCTTTTCTTGCTGATCCAAAAAAATGATTCGATCCGTGGGTCAAAAACCGTAATGTGATCCGAACCGTGAGATTTGTGAGCCGTTGAACCACTAGATACCATAGAAGAACCTTTTTGTCTAAATGGTTCCATAAAGAACCTTTAACATCTGAAGAACCTTTCTGTTTCACAAAAGGTTCTTTGTGGCGAAAGAAGGTTTTTCAGATTATGGAGGGTAAGAAAGAGATGGTTCTTTAAAGAACCTTTGACTGAATGGTTCTTTGTGGAACCAAAAATGGTTCTTCTATGGCATCGCTTGAAGAACCTTTTGAAGCACCTTTATTTTTTAAGAGTGTATGTCTTTCACACTTTCAGTCTGTTTTTCTTAGTTAGTAAAATGCAATTTTACTTGGAGGAGTTGAATCATGTAGACAACAGGTTAAGTAAAAATATTAAAATGCAATAGCGCATAAATATAGCAAAATGCTCCTCTTTATAGTTATTTTTCTAGCTGACTGATGAGCTTATGGACACCGAACGGTTATACCGGACGGATAATTTGAAACACCGAATGAGCTTTTACATGAGACATTTCAGTAAGCTGTACTGTAGGCTCTCTTATAAAATAGCCTACCTTTTGATGTTAATTCATGTTCATTATGTACTATAGTAGTAAAGAGAAAGCTTAAATGGGTTCACTTGCCGCTTGAACTGAGGCGCTAAAGCGAACGTGCCTGCCGCATTAAAGAGCGCCAAAAACAAAACTGTATTTATTGAATTTCGTTATGAATTTTGAATCATTTTAAAGCTGATACTTTGTTTTTTTAAAAAATAACAAAGCACAAAGCTTTTTTTTGCAGATACTTTGTTTATTAAAAAGTAACAAAGCACAAAGCTTTTTGCGATTACTGGATGGCAAGTGCGCTTCAAATAATGAAGTTCACGTATTAACAGAACACAGCATAGACTAAGATCTTGTCAAGAAGAAGCCATATTATTAATGATTATAAACGAGAATTGTTAACGATATTGCCTATATCCACACAGCTGACAGCTTTACCTGTTGTAGTTTGTTCAAGTTGTGCACGAAATAGGCGCTGCTTTTGTGCACTTTCACTTCTTACGTCTCCGTCATTTCGATCTCTCTCGCGCTGCACAACTGAGCTGCGTTTAGCAGATGTGCTGCAGAGATGAGGACTGTTTGAAACTCCTCTTTTTTTCCACTAAAACTTTGATGCGCATCATCTCAGTTTAATATGCGAACATAACAAAAGATGTGATTGCAACACAATCAGGAAAAAAGGCATTACATGCAAATTTTTAAGTTATAACATGTAAATACATAGGCCTAGTCGCCAGTGGCGACCTCAGCAAAAACTTCACCCGCAATTTAATATTTTTGGTCGCAAATGCGACCGTTTTAGTCACAGTTTGGAGACCTGATGGGATTGTTGTGGTTTCTCTTATTAAAGCTGTACACAATCTTGTACCTTTGTCTTTTTGTCTGATTTAAAATTTTTATTCTTACTTCCAGTAAAATGTTGTGATTGACCTTGTAGCTGGCTGGTATATAACGCTTTAACAAAGACTTAAAGGGGTCCTATTATGCTCTTTTACAAAGAGCATTTTTTTTCTCGAAAAAGGCATTATTTTTCACATTATTTACATTATTAAAATACCTTTCTCCCCAGCCTGGCACAAACGGCTCGATTAGTTCCGGCTTTAATGAAGGTCCGTCTTCCGAAAAACAAAATATGTTGTGATTGGTTAGCTGTCCCAGTGCGTTGTGATTGGCGAACAGCTTAGACGGTGTTTCAGTACTGCCACGCCCCTTGCTCCGTCTTTCAACAAAAGCTTTTTGGCGAATCCGGCACTGTACTCCCTCGTGTTGTGGAAGCTGTCCTCAGTAAAATGCGCAGCACACAATAGCAAATTGGGGTTATAATGCTCAGGAACAGAGTAAAAAAATGAACTGTTTCCTGACATCATCCGCTTTCGGAAGTTAAAGGTAAAAAAAAACTGCATTTCAGGCGGTCGCGCACCGGACGAGAAGCACAGCGTCGCATACGCTGTAGTCCAAAAGAGCCGTTCATTGTAGTTCTTGAAAAGGGATTTTTAAAAAACAAAATATCTTCCTTTGGAGTGGACTTTGAGATTTGTAACTTTCTAGATCTTTTTTTTATGCCCAAACATACACACTACACACTGACTAAAATTTAAAAAAGTGAAAAAGCATAATAGGACCCCTTTAAAAAAAATCCCTATGGGAAAAATACTTACTGAGCAAAACCACTAAAAAAAGTGAGCGGGCACTTAATACACTGTATTAAACATTAAAAATAAAACTGACTTGTAGCTTCTGGTATATAGCGAGCCTTAACAACCACTGTGTTCATTATAGGTCTGTCTTAAAAGGTTTATAGGGAGAATGTTTAGTAGTAGTTTACAGTAGAAGTAGAAAGATGTGTTGGGTATGCAGCTGTTTGCGTATTACAGTGGACAGATGAACTGAAAATGTGAATGAAATGCTCGGGGCCTGTTGATAATCTTACTGGCTGCAGCTCTGTTCTTAATTCTTAGGAGATTGAGCAGGTGTTTCGTACAGAAAAGTGCTAAGCACAAAATATTTCTGTCTCTTTTTCGGCTCAGTTTGTTTTTGAAAGCTGAAAGTGTGGTTAGCTCGTTTTCATTAGAGAAACTGTTTTGATAGTAAAGCCCAAATTGTTCTCATTGGTTTCGGCTAAGCATGCTAATGTTAACATTTGAACAATCAACAACCTCAAGGTCTGGTAAGTGTTCCTTTCTCTATGAGACCACAGCAAAATCCTTGCCAGTAAAACGAACATTGTGTTTCAGCAAATGACGACAATAATTACGAACTTTTAAAGATCCTCACAGACTTGGATGTTAAAGATCATGGACTCTCACTTTGCTTTACAATTGAGCATCATGATATTGTTTATTCTCTGAAAACTGCTGTTTGACTTCCTTAACCTAGAGTGCAAAGAGAGAGATAACTTAGAGTGACATGTTATGTAGATGGTTCCTCCAGTTATACAAGTTCTGGGTAATAATACCTGCTGGAAATAACACAATAAGCTGTTGTTGGAACCAAAATATCATAGAGGCTTAAGTAACCACCTAACAGCCACATAGAAAACCCTAGCATTATAAAAATGTAGTTGTCCAATTCAGAGTTCTGTCGTTTGACATTGTTTGCTCTGAGCGACGTCATCACTTTCCATGTGCGTGTTTGACATTCACTGTAATCGGGGGTCACATCAATGCATGCGAATATCTAAAAAGCAAGCAGTCCCTTGAGGCTGACCTCACGTCTTTTTATTTAAGTGTGGGAAAAACAAAGGCAGGAGTCTCTGGTGAATAAATAGCCCAGTATAGGCTCCTTGGAATTGCCTTCAACACACACACACACACACACACACACACACACACTTAAGCACATGTACTTTTGACTTTTTTTTTATTGACCTTCCTTTACTTGAAGTTCAAACAAAAATTAAAGCTGGATCAGTGGATCCCATAGATTTCATTGTATTAAAAACAATAGAAAACGAATATTCTTGAAAATATCTTATTTTATTTTGTGTTTCCCAGTCATACACTGTGACTGACCCCAAAAGCATGTTTTGTGTTTTGTGAAATTCTAATGGTTTCCACTACAAATACCATTACAAACATTACAAACCATCAACATTTAAACATTAAAACCATTACGAATTTTTTGATGGTGTCTATTGTTTTTTTCAGCAGGGAACTGTTACAAAAGATTTCTATTTAATGTTTATTTATTTTTTAATTTTTTAATCAAAGAATCCTAAAAAAGTATCACGGTTTCCAAAAATATATAGCTGTTTTCCACATTGATGATAATAATAATAAGACATTTTTTATAACATTATTGTCAATAAATTACATTAAAAAACATTAAAAAGGAAAATGCCCATTTTAAATGATATTATGTAGTAATATTAAAATTTTTACAGTATTCTTATCAAATAAATGCAGTCATGGTGAGTGTAAGAAAAAAAACAAAAATTTTTTACCAACCTCAAATATTTTAACAGTACA